GATCGGTGCAGATATTCTCCTGGAACAAGCCCAACTAGACAAAGACAATTTATTTTACTTTTTATTGACGTTAACAAAGATGACCTGTATACGGCCTGTGCTCGGGTCACGGATAAAGGAAAAATACAGATATCAGTTGCTGTTGGGGCACCATATTGTAACAGGACACTGAATGCAGAGCAGGTAAGTAACAATCTATATAGGGGATTCCCAGGTGTGACTGATGGAGTTCCAGGCACGATTAATGGAGTTCCAGGCACGATTAATGGAGTTCCAGGCGTGGTTAATGAAGGCGTGGTTAATGGAGTTCCAGGTGCGGTTAATGGAGGGCCAGGCATGGTTAATGAAGGTGTGGTTAATGGAGTCCCAGGCATGATTAATGGAGTCCCAGGCGTGGTTAATGGAGTGCCAGGTGTGGTTAATGGAGTCCCAGGCGTGGTTAATGAAGTTCCAGGCAAGATTAATGGAGTCCCAGGCGTGGTTAATGAAGTTCCAGGCAAGATTAAGGGAGGCGTGGTTAATGAAGTTCCAGGCAAGATTAATGGAGTCCCAGGCGTGGTTAAAGAATACGAGGTGATTGAGTAGAGCAGCTCTGGACCTGCTCCTTAGCCTGGATGGAGTGAACCTTTGGTTGGAAAGCGTTGATGTCCCGGAGTGATGGACATGTTCTAATGGGCTGAGATGGAACGCAGGCTCACGTCTGATGGCGGTTTGTTGGTTTGAGGTTTTGGTAAGTTGGGTATGAACTCGGTAAAGATGCCAGCGAGTAGATCAGAGAAAACAGAGTACATTTTAATTCAAAGGTGGACTTTCCAACAGCATTGGTGGTGAGTGTGGGCCAAGTCCAAGCTCAATACACTCTGGGCTCTCTTCATCCACGTTTTCACTTAAGACTCACAACTTTCACCCAAGATTCACACACAAAGGTTCATAGATGAGTGCCCCTACCCACATTCAGCTCCCATCTCCCGACGCAGGAAGTTCTTGCCTGTGGGAACTAAGATGCGACATAAACGAGGACTTCTTCGAGAACCGTTTCCCGCATTCACATGAAAACGGCTTCTCCCCTCTGTGAACTTTTTCATGTTCGAGAAGATTTGATTTCCGGGAGAAACATTTCCCGCAGTCGTTACACGAGAAGGGCTTCTCGCCCGTGTGAGTCCTCTGATGTAACATAAGGTGGGTTCTATCGCTGAAGCCTTTGCCGCATTCCGGGCAGGAGCACGGCTTCTCCCCCGTGTGAACCTTTTCATGTTTGAGAAGGTTGGATTTCATGGAGAAGCTTCTCCCGCACTCGGCACATGAATACGGCCTCTCCCCCGTGTGGACTTTTTCGTGTGCGATGAGGTTTGATTTGAGGGAAAAACACTTCCCGCATTCCGTGCAGGAAAACGGCTTCTCTCCCGTGTGGACCTTTTCATGCCCGATAAGAGAAGACTTATGAGAAAAGGATTTCCCGCATTCGGAGCAGGAATACGGCTTCACCCCCGTGTGGATCTTCTCATGGGTGGTCAGAGTCGACTTTTGGGAAAAACATTTCCCGCATTCCGAACAGGAAAACGGCCTCTCTCCCGTGTGAGTCATCTGATGCGAGATGAGATTCCTTCTGTGGGAAAAACATCGCCCGCATTCCGAGCAGGAGAACGGCTTCTCCCCAGAGTGAGTATTCCTGTGTTTAGCCAGCATCCATTTTTCGGTGAAACATTTCCCACACTGCGAACAGGAAAACGGCTGCTCCGCCGAGTGAGTTCTCTGATGTCTGACCAGTTGTTGCTTCTGAGAAAAGCTTTTGCCACATTCAGAACACGGATAGGGCTTCTCCTTTTGGTGGCCTCTCTGTGGCGAGGCGAGGTCCATCCTCTGGTCAAAAGAGTCACCAGGCTCAGAACACAGGAAATTTTCAAGGTCCTCACAAGCTGCACTGTGAAGTACCAGATGCGAGCTGGGGGCCACGGGGTTGCCTTCGGGAGATTCTGCTGGGCCGTCATCATCTTCTGTGTCAACATTTGAAAACGAAGCGGGATGTTCCTTCACACCATACCTCCTGTATCGGCCGTCTGAGGGGAATAAGAATGGTTCAAGGACTTCAATCTCAAATGTTGAAATGGCTAAATATAGTTCTCTGAGTACAATGTATACAATGGGGTACAGTCAGCCAAGAGGTGGGCACATGACTATGAAACTCAGGAGCCAGTCTGCCCAGTCCAGGGGCCACCAAGATTATATTTAGTGGCCAGCTCCATTGACTACAACTAGAGAAACCCTTAAAGGTTAGATGCCAGCTGACATTGTGGAGGATTGGATACCCGGCTCCTGGGATTGGTCCGGACCTGGCTGGGCCATTAAAATTAAACCTAACCTGACGCAAAACTTGAACCTAAAAATTCCTAATATCACATAGTCCCAGCAAAATGAGGATATGGTGCACCAAAATATAGGAGGCGGAGCCACCATCAAATGGTTCTAACATCACAGTTACCATGGTTCCTGAGGTATGAGGATCATAATCATAAACTGCATCAGGGGCGTCACTAGAAATCAGAGGGCCCCATAGCAAAATTTTGTATGGGGCCCTCCCCTACCAAACAAAGTACCTACCTCCAGAACAAATCACCATGCCTGCGGCGTTTCCGTCTATTCAGCCCTGCTCTTGGTGGCTCTGATGCTGGAGCCGAAGAAGAGATCACTCCGCCGCTCACTGCTGCAGAGTCCACCATAGAACCCGCAGAGCCCATCTGATACCCTGCACATACCAGAGACACTGCACAGCCCACCTGAGTCCCTGCATATACCGGAGACCCCGCACAGCACCCACCTAAGTTCCTGCACAGCCCAACTGAGAGTGACCCCGCAGAGCCCACCTGAGACCCCCACAGAGCCTATTTGAGACCCTGCACATACCAGAGATCCTGCATAGCCCACCTGAGACCCCAAACAGCCCAATTGAGACCCTGCAGACCCCACCTGAGATCCTCTATGATGGGCTCTGCAGGGTCTCTGATGGGTTGGTCGGGGTCCCTTTGCCTGCATATTGCGCTGCTCTTACCTGTCAGCCGCCCGCTGCTGTGCCCTGGACTTCTACTCCTCCCCCGATGCCCGGCCCCGGCCTCATGATCCTCTGCCACGGCCTCCTCCTCCACAGCCGCTGTGCCCTAGCTCCCTCCTTCACATCCGACGCCGCTACAAGGCCCCCAGCTTCCTCCTCCACGCCTGCTGAGCCCCGGCCTCCTGACCGGGTCCCTCTCTGCCCAGGCCCCACAGCGACCATGTGGACCGCTATGGCGGTTGTTACACCACTGAACCACATCACTTTTTTTGCCCATTCAAGGCAACAAGTTTTCTTTAATCTCCCCATATCCAGTAATATATACTTACCTTTCCTTCATTCCCTTGCCGTTTACAAATCATCCCAAAGGTGTACCGTAGGGTGAGATCACGGCTCGGTGCAGGCCCCTTGAGTTCCTCCACACCAAACTGATCAAACCATGTCTTAATGGACCTGGAATTGTACTCAGGGGCACAGCCATGGTGGAACAGAAAAGTGCCTTCACCAAACTGTCACCACAAGCATGGGATTGTCTACAATGTCTTCGTATGATGTAGCATGGACAGGACCTTCACTGGAGACATCGGAACTCAATAATTCAGAGGGCTGTCCAAGCGCTTTTAGCCATCCTGCAGGGGCGATGGTCAGGTGACAACAAACATGTTGCCCATAGAGGGTACTTTATGAATGTGAAGGTCCATTACCTGATGCCCCTTCTGTTCAACATGTGCCTTCCTGTATTCCACCAACAACTATTTTATGAGAATGTTAGTGGAATCTGCATATGGCTACCTCAAGATCCACAAGCCAGCTTCCCAAAGATGTCCTCCCTATCCTTCTGAGCCGAGTTTCAAAAGGTAAATCACCTTGACCATGCAGAGTAAAGTAATAGCGTGCCCCTCACTCCCCTATGCTCATCTCACCAGTGTTCCCCTGCTGCTTCTTGCTCCTCCACAGCTGACCTGAAATAACTAGTGTAGGTGACCTAGGGGAGAGGTGACACCTAGGGGAGAGGTGACCTGGGGGAGAGGTGACCTAGGGGAGAGGTGACACCTAGGGGAGAGGTGACCTGGGGGAGAGGTGACCTAGGGGAGAGGTGACACCTAGGGGAGAGGTGACCTGGGGGAGAGGTGACCTAGGGGAGAGGTGACACCTAGGGGAGAGGTGACCTGGGGGAGAGGTGACCTAGGGGAGAGGTGACACCTAGGGGAGAGGTGACCTGGGGGAGAGGTGACCTAGGGGAGAGGTGACACCTAGGGGAGAGGTGACCTGGGGGAGAGGTGACCTAGGGGAGAGGTGACACCTAGGGGAGAGGTGACCTGGGGGAGAGGTGACCTAGGGGAGAGGTGACACCTAGGGGAGAGGTGACCTGGGGGAGAGGTGACCTAGGGGAGAGGTGACACCTAGGGGAGAGGTGACCTGGGGGAGAGGTGACCTAGGGGAGAGGTGACACCTAGGGGAGAGGTGACCTGGGGGAGAGGTGACCTAGGGGAGAGGTGACACCTAGGGGAGAGGTGACCTGGGGGAGAGGTGACCTAGGGGAGAGGTGACACCTAGGGGAGAGGTGACCTGGGGGAGAGGTGACCTAGGGGAGAGGTGACACCTAGGGGAGAGGTGACCTGGGGGAGAGGTGACCTAGGGGAGAGGTGACACCTAGGGGAGAGGTGACCTGGGGGAGAGGTGACCTAGGGGAGAGGTGACACCTAGGGGAGAGGTGACCTGGGGGAGAGGTGACCTGGGGGAGAGGTGACACATAGGGGAGAGGTGACACATAGGGGAGAGGTGACACCTAGGGGAGAGGTGATCTAGGGGAGAGGTGATCTTGGGGAGAGGGGACACCTAGGGGAGAGGTGATCTAGGAGAGAGGTGACCTAGGGGAGAGGGGACATCACTCCTCCAGTCATGTGACAGTTTGGGCCTTCTGACTGTCTGCTACAGGAGACCTAATTTTTCTCTGCTGCAGTTCAGTATCACTTCCAGGCCTGTGATTGGACGGATAAAAGAGAAGCAGCAGACTGACTATATCATATTTCTTATCACCATGCTCCCTCCTCCTATCAAAATGTCCTTTGTTAGCACATGAGCACTGCAGCTTCTTCCTCACCTGTGCTGATCTCCGGAAGGATTTCCTCCTCCTTACATGGCTCCTCCCCCCTCACAGACGGCTCTTCTTCATCTTTTACTTCCACCTTGATGACATTTTCCTCCTGAATAAACACAAAATGATCCAAATACTGAAGCAGGGGGTCGTAGTTCAGACTTGGTCTTGCATGCCGCATCAACCTCTAAGACCTACGTGTTCAAAGATGGAGGTGGTGGAGGTGAGTGGTCGGCCGTATACAAAAAGGTGGGAACAGCAATGCCATGGCCAGCTTCATTTCACCAGGCTAAAGCCATCCATGCACTGGCAGATTGCCCAATGAACGTCAAGTAGACCCCACCAGGCGTGGGACCAGGAGTCGGCAAACTCGGCACCCCACCTGTTGTAGAACTACGAGTCCCATGACTCGCTGCAGGGAGCACTCCAAAAGCAGAAGCATGATGTAATTTGTAGTTTCACCGCAGCTGGAGTGCTGAGGTTGCCCAAACCTGGGTTAGAGAATCAGATGAATGGAGACACAATGTGTGGACGGAATTCTACTGGTGTATGGGCAGCTTTACCCCAGCTGTCCCGGTACAGGCTATTCAAGTATATGGGAAGTTCCTGTGCGGGCAGCATTGGACAAGATGTCTGCACATAGGCTGTAAACGTCATAGGAACAAGGTAAGTAGGCCCCTGGGTGAGGAGGGGTGGTTGGGTTATAATTAGGGATGCGCCAAGTACCGATATTTTTTTCGGTAGTCGTTGATACCAGAAGTCCCATTAAGGAAGCCGGGGGGGGGTGTAATGACCCCGGGAAGATGTCTCCATGCTCCATCTTCCCCAGGTGACGAGGAAGCATGGAGCCGACTTTCTTGCCGCCCGGCTTCCTGATTGGCCAGCTTCTTGACCAATCAGGAAGCTGGCCGGCGAGTCATTACACACTGTCCGGCTTCCTGATTGGCCATGAAGCTGGCTCAATGCTCCATCATCACCAGGTGACGAGGAAACATGGAGTCCCCTTCTGGCCAATAGGAAGCCGGGGGAGTTATGACTTGAAGCCTAGCTTCCTGATTGGCCAGCTTCTCGACCAATCAGCAAGCTGGACTGCGAGTGATTACACCGAGTGACGAGGGAGCATGGAGCCGGTTTCCCAGCCAATCAGGAAGCCAGGGGGCATGTCATTACCACCCCATGGATTCCTGATTGGCCGGAAAGCCAGCTCCATGTTCCCAGGGATGTGCTAAAGTACACCTGTTCTTGTACAATTGGGTGGTTTCAAACCTTCTGTCCCATCTACCTGATCATCCTGAGGGATCTCCTGATGTTCCTGTGTGGAATCCCGGGAATACAGAGGACGTGCCTGAGGGATCTCCTGATGTTCCTGTGTGGAGTCCCGGGAATACAGAGGACGGGCCTGAGGGATCTCCTGATGTTCCTGTGTGGAATCCCGGGAATACAGAGGACGAGTCTGAGGGATCTCCTGATGTTCCTGTGTGGAATCCCGGGGACATCTCTCTGGGGTATTTCTGTTACTGGATGCACCTTCAAGAAATTGACATAGTTACATGAGTGCAATGATAGAACGGTATTGATTACTATACAACAATACATACACTCACATTGTGAAGGAACACCCGGCAATCACGCCGATTACTTGATGGCTAAGCGATGGAACAAATGACTTTCTTGGTGTAAGCTTCACAAGTAGCACTGATTCACCTGACATGGTTGTTGAGCGTTCCCATTGATTGTCTCGCCATGATACTCGTGCATTTTACTCCTCTTGGTTTCCTTTGCTCGATGACCCTCAGCTATTTTTATTGATTCATCTCTACTGATTTTAATAGTGTGATTGATCTACAAAAACTGACCATGTGCCTTCAGCCTTAGAAGAGTCCAGACCAGGCACACAAAGTCAACGGTGGGTTTGGTTTTGAAACTCCAGCTATGGTCTCCTCTCTGAACTTTTCAGGACCTTCAAACCTTCACGTGACTGAGTTACTAACCCTCCCGCCCCATGTGGTTCTAGCAGAAGAAGGTACGGTGAAGTAACAATGACCATGCAATGGTTTGGCTTTGAAGCGTCATCTGTGGTCTACCCATTTTAGGAAGACCAAGCCATCACATGACTGAACTACTAAACACTCCCCTACCCCATATAGATCTAGCATTAGAGAGTTCAGGGCAGTAACCTTGATCAGGCAATCACACAAGGACAGTTGCGTAGATACAATTCGAAGCTCCATGTGTGGTCTACCCTCGGACTCCCATATTTTGGGAACATCAAGCCATTGCTCAACTGATCTCCTAAGCCCCATCTCATGTAGCGCTAGCATTTGAAGGTTCAGAGCATTAACAATGATCAAGCAGTCGGGCAGGGATGGTTTTGAAGCTCCAACTGTGTTCTACGCCACGGCTGGAGGAACCCCAGGAGCCAAGTAGCCGACGCTCCTTAACCAGTTGACATCCGCGGTGTTAAACCCCCTTCCCATCCAGGCCATTTTTCAGTATTCAGCGCTGCGGTACTTTAACTGACATTTATTCCGTCATGCAGCGCTGTACTGAAATTAATTTTATACCCTTTTTTGGGGACAGATAGAGCTTTCTTTTGGTGGTATTAAGCTATCGCCTAACTTCTGAGGATTTCTCTGGTTCTTGTCATTGGAGCCGGCTACTAAAAAAATGCTGCTGGCTCCTGGATTGGACAGACTGGCTCCTGAATTCCATTGTCCACCCCTAGTCTACCCCACAGCAGTTTAGGAACACCAAGCCAAATGATTCACTTTGCCCCGCCTATGTTCTACTCTCCACACTCGAGGCCAAGGAGTATCAAGGACTTCAATGACCTCCAAGAGATCACATGGATATTGTTCAATGGGTTAGAAGCATCCATAATGTTGGAATTTTGCTTCACAATCACTTCGAAAAGATCAGAGGGTGCTAGGCATGCTACTCATATCTAGTAAATCAAAATGGTGATCTCGGTGCTCTGTCCACATGTACAAAAAAATAGGGACTGAGGATCCAAAACTTAGAAGTTTTGCCTATTTAGGGCCAGCTAGTGCCAACATGGACCAGATGGTAGTGAATCAATAACTCAGAACAAAGGAACAGCACCGACCAGACAATGAAATGTATCATCTGTCTCTTACTCACCACTACTGATCTCCAGAGGAACTTCCTCCTCTTTGATCCTCACATGTGCTTCTTCCTCCTTCTCAGCTTTGACCTCTCCCCGAGTGTCTCCGGGATCTGTGAATAAAGATGAGAGTGAAGCCCCCTGTACTGAGATGTATGAGAGACCCCAGAGAGTGTGTGTGGGGGGGAGACTGGTCACGTCTCTTGGCTGGTAACACACAATGACATGATGTGAGGAGGAGAGGCGGAGTCTAATAGAGGCTGATGGCTCATGACTCCCCCCACTAGACACATGCTGTCCCCCCATTACTGTCTACTGACAGAGGAGGGGGGAGAAGAAGAGATTGTTGTAGTGACTGAACAAGGAGAATCTGGGACTCTTTTCTGGATTTAGTGTTTATTCCTCACCTGTGCTGATCTCTGGAGAATGTTCCTCCTCCTTACACAGCTCATCACCCCTCACATACGTCTCATCTTCCTCCTTCACTTCAACTTTAATGATAATCAGATTTTCATTCTTACAAATCCAAAACAATACAAATATTATTTATGAACTAAGCCATTGTACAATTAGTATTGTGAAGCCATTGTGTTACATCTACCTGGTCATCATGAGGGATCTCCTGATGTTCCTGTGTGGAATCCCGGGAATACAGAGGACGGGTCTGAGGGATCTCCTGATGTTCCTGTGTGGAATCCCGGGAATACAGAGGACGGGTCTGAGGGATCTCCTGATGTTCCTGTGTGGAATCCCGGGAATACAGAGGACGGGTCTGAGGGATCTCCTGATGTTCCTGTGTGGAATCCCGGGAATACAGAGGACGGGGACATCTCTCTGGGGTATTTCTGTTCCTGGATCCATCTGTAGGAAACACACACACTGACTGAATACATTGTTTCTATGTCTTTATATCAGAGGATGTGTGTATCTAGGGGGATCCTCAATACTCAAGAAATGAAAGTCTCCTCTTACCCGGTGATGTGAGGGGCGGCCGGTTCTCCATCATGACTTGTGTCCTTCTATATACTTTCACTGACCTATATTGGCGGTTTGTAAAGTTGTCACTGCAATAAATCAGTAAAATTACATATAAACATTTAATCAGTAACAACAATCTCTATAAAGAACAAAAGCTCAAAGAGATAATAAAGAAAGAAGACAGGACAGGCTGCAATCACCGTTCTCAGGGAGTGCCCGGGACCACCAGACACCTTTCTACTAAAAACCTGCAGGAGCCGCAACCATTTCCGCAATAAAGATATTTCCATAAGACGCGGGTTGCAAATTATGCAGAGAATACGCCCCCAGCGCCATCAGAGCTCACCATCTAATGCTCTGCACATCAGAGCATTAGATGTGCAGGAAGATGATGATTTGCTGAGATGACATGTCCCCCCCATCCAGTCCACAGAGAGTGCTGGGACCCCCTTCTCTCATAATAAGAAGACATCATTACCTCCTTCTCACTGGACACACACTCTCCACCTTCAAACTCCCACTAGGAAGTTTCTCCAGCCATTGAAAATGCATACCTCCATGTTTGGGCTACAAGAAAATGGCCGCTTCTTTGGTACAGTTTATGAAACCATTTTTTTTTTTTAAAAACAATATATTTTTTTTTAAAACAACAAGACTTCCTATCAGCAGTAAACGATATTTGGCAATTCAGTTGTAAAACTCTCTATTATAACCAGCAAACATGAATAATTAAAAAAAACTCTGAACTGGGCTACAATAAAATGGCAGCCGTCCTTTCTACACCGAGGACACTGCCTTCTCTCACACGGCAGACGGTCGCCCTCTAGTGGTGGCTCCACAGCACGCTTCTCTGTGAGAAGCGATGTAACAGTCTAACCATAAAAAAAACACTTTCAGTGCTATTCTTCCTCTGTTTTGTTTGCTATTTGAGGCAGCCAATCAGATTGCAGCTGGCATTGTCCTGCCACTTGTGAGATAAGGAGAAATGTCTGATTGGTTGCTATGGCAAACACCTCAAAGCTCCTCCCCTTACCCAGACTTGTCATGATTAAGGGAATATGAAGATTCTATAAATCAGTCAATTGTGTGTCCAGAACATGTAATATGGATGATAATTTACTACCAGAACAGGAAGTGAGGGGAAACCTCTCCAGTGGGTACAGGAAATGAGGAAAAAATACCCAAATGGGTACACATAAAGCAAAAAACTGTCAGAGGGCCTAAACCATTGACACCAGTTACCCCATTGATATAACTGGTGTCAGTGGTTAGACCCAAAGGACCTAAACCATTTGGACACCAGTTATACCATTGGGCCTAACCCACTGACACCAGTTATACCATTGACACCAGTTATACCATTGGGCCTAAACCACTGACACCAGTTATACCATTGGGCCTAAACCACCGACACCAGTTATACCATTGGGCCAAACCCACCGACACCAGTTATACCATTGACACCAGTTATACCATTGGGCCTAAACCACTGACACCAGTTATACCATTGGGCCTAACCCACCGACACCAGTTATATCATTGGGCCTAAACCACCGACACCAGTTATACCATTGGGCCTAAACCACCGACACCAGTTATACCATTGGGCCTAAACCAATTGAAAACATCGGGGTAGAAGAATAAAAAATAAGGGGTTCCCCTACATTTAGTACCGGGCCCTTAAAGCCTGGTATAGCTTTTAAGGGGCAAGCCCACAAATCCATTACCGGACTCTCTGTGTCACTGGTTGTTAGGGACACCGTCACCTATGTACCCGACACATTCCCTAACAACCACCATAGTGCCAATGTGAACGTTTTGGAGGAACATGGCCACCTGAGAAGGTGAAGTGGAGAACACAAGTCCTCGGAAATGGTGGCCTACCTTGCATTGCCTTTTATGTCAGGCCAACGCATTGCACCCCTCCATTCAGGAAGCAAGACATCATGTTTGGGAAGAACGAGACACTCGGAAAAAAGTGAGGACAGAAGCCCCAGGAGAGATCCAACTAGGGGTAGTAGTACCAACTCCGGGATTAGAGTAATGTTTGGTGAGAGATTGAATTTTTGAAAACAATACTCACGTGGGCGGGATCAGGAGGCGTTTTTAGGGATATCTAGCAACCAGAGGCTAGTAGGCTTGCTGGGAGTACAACCTGTCCCCGTACAGAGGGTTGAACTCCATAATCATTGGGGTGTCGTTCGGATAGTCAGTAGCTTAGGGGACACAATGTCATCTGGAGAAGGGAGGAGAGAGCCCCGAAAGAGTTCATGGATGGAAGATAGCAGAAGGGCCTGAAGAAGGTCAATAGACCATGTGTGCTTCGGCAATCTAAAAACTTGGGTTTAGAAGCACCGTTTCAACGCGTTTCGCGGCTCCCCACTTGGTAGTGTTAGCGGTTTAGACTCCGGGAACCTCCAACACTCTTCCTACAGAGTACGCCTGCACCCTCCTGAAGAACCGGCCAGATGTAGAGCCGGGAAATGCATCGGGATCGAGTCTCTTATCCCATGTTCACCACATAAAACGTTTTTGAACTGACGAAGAACACAAAGTCTACTGACCTTTCTTGGGACACTCTCCTCCCCTCCCCCAATACCTTATGTTATGGGCAGAGATGTCTAACCGGAAGAATGCGTGTTCGGAGTAAAAGCAATAATGATACCAACACAAGTATAAAAAATCACACAGGACCATATATTGTTTCAAAGAACCGACCCAAGAAATACAAAAACATCCATCAAAAGTTCAAAATCAGCTTCGTGAATCGTAATCCTAGAAAGAAAACACATCAGACGCAAATTAAAACTACGACTTCTCCCCTCTGTGCACCCTTTCGTGTTCCATAAGAACCGATTTCCGGGCAAAACATTTCCCACACTCAGTACAGGAAAAAGGCTTCTCCCCCGTGTGACTCCTCTGGTGAAAAATAAGGTGGGTCCTGTCACTGAAACCTTTCCCACATTCCGAGCACGAGAACGGCTTCTCTCCCGTGTGCACTTTTTCGTGCTTCACCAGCGACGATTTGTGGGTGAAACATTTCCCGCATTCCGAGCACGAATACGGCTTCACCCCCGTGTGGACTTTTTCGTGCGTGATGAGGTTTGATTTGAGGGAAAAACATCTCCCGCATTCCGTGCAGGAAAACGGCTTCTCGCCGGTGTGGACCTTCTCGTGTCCGAGGAGAGAAGACTTGTGGGAGAAGCATTTCCCGCATTCGGAGCAGGAATACGGCTTCACCCCCGTGTGGATCTTCTCATGGGTGGTCAGAGTCGACTTTTGGGAAAAACATTTCCCGCATTCCGAACAGGAAAACGGCCTCTCTCCCGTGTGAGTCAACTGATGCGAAATAAGGTTCCTCCTCGTGGAGAAATATCTCCCGCATTCTGAACACGAGAACGGCTTCTCCCCGGAGTGATTCGTTTGATGTTTAGCCAGCATCCATTTTTCAGGGAAACATTTCCCGCACTCCGGACAGGAAAACGGCTTCTCGGCCGAGTGAGTTCTCTGGTGTCGGACGAGTTGCTGTTTCAGGGTGAAGCATTTCCCGCATTCGGAACATGAGAACGGCTTCTCCTTTTGAGGACCTCTTTGGTGAGAGGTGAGGTCCACTCTCTGGGGAAAACATTCGCTCCCTCTACCTCTGATATGGTGGACAATGGGAGGTGGGACACGTTCGCTATAGGTTGAGGGATCACATGACGGGTCGGCACTGTGAGGTGTTGGGCGGAGATTTAGGGTAACGGGGTTCTTGGCTGAAGATTCTGCGGAGATGTCGCCGTCTTCTAGTTCACCATCTATAGAGGTTCCGGAATGTTCCTCCACATTGTACCTTCTATATCGTCCATCTACAGGAAATAGACAAGTATATATGTCAAGAGCTTCCTACACACGGATGCAGGGGTAGGCGGCCCCGGAACTACAAATCCCATCATGTGGGAGTCATGCCTGTGGCTTCGGCGTCTTGCAATGCCTCATGGGACTTGTGGTCCACAATAGTAGGAATGCCGAGGTTGCCCACCCTTGTAGATCATCTGGATCAGCTCATGTGATCCTGCAGGGGAAGCTCCTAACTTCCTGCTTAAAGGAGAGAAATCTGCCTCTGCTGCACCCAAGCAGTGTTGTCAGCCCTGCCCGAGTTTTCTCCAGCTGCACTACAGAACACCTCCAAAACATCGGGGAAGGTGCTCTGTAGTGCAGCAGAAGAACTCTAGTCTTAGAACAGGCGTGGAGAGATTGTTGTAGAGACTGAACAAGGAGAATCTGGGACTCTTCTCTGGATTTAGTGTTTATTCCTCACCTGTGCTGATCTCTGGAGGGAGCTCCTCCTCCTTACACGGCTCATCACCCGCCACATCCGGATCTTCTGCTTCCTCTTTTACTTCCACTTTGATGAAACTTTCATCCTGAATAACACAAATAACTCACTTCATCAGGGTCGTCCCTTCCTGAACTGCAAAATGCCACCTATCCCTGCCCCACTCCATGTGCCTTGACTCCCAAGAACCTGCATGTGTAGGGAAATGGGCTCTGGGAAGATGTAGTTCTGGGGGAAGGGGCATGCCTACATCAACAGGAAGTGAACTCCCAGCAGCTGCCAATGCACGACTTTTGCAAGCCTAGTGATGATGTCACAGGGAGTACTGAAGGCGGGTTCTCACTTTAGGAACTAGATGTAAAACGTTGCTGGGACATGCTCTAGAAGGACTGCAAAGACCAGGGCACCCCAGGAAGAATGAGAGCCTCACATAAGGATCTATTTATGAACAGAGCCATTCACCCTGCGAATCTCTGCGAACGTTCGCTCTGTGCTATTGGAGGCGAGAGGAAGCATTCATAGTGTATTTTTCTACAAGTCAAATGTAATGTAATACAGCAATATGGCCACTAGATGGAGCTGAGGAGCAAATGTAGTATTTCTTACATTTGCTCCTCAGCCCCATCTGCAGGCCATAATGTGGTATTACATTTCATATGCTCCTCAGCTCCATCTAATGGCCATAGTTTAGTATTACATTTCCTATGCTTCTCAGCTCCATCTAGTGGCCATAATGTAGTATTACATTTCCTATGCTCCTCAGCTCCATCTACTGGCCCTAATGTAGTATTAAATTTCCTATGCTTCTCAGCTCCATCTAGTGGCTCTAATTTAGTATTACATTATCTATGCTACTCAGCTCCTTATACTGGCCATAGTTTAGTATGAAACTCCTTACTAAATTAAGTATTAAACTCCTTACTCCCATTCACCTCTAAACTACTAGAACGCCTTATCTACAACCGCCTGAGTTGCCACCTCGCTAATAACAACCTTTTGGACCCCTTTCAGTCCGGCTTTCGCCCCAAACACTCCACTGAAACCACCCTTCTCAAACTCACCAATGACCTAATAACAGTTAAAAACAATGGCCACTACTCCTTACTCTTACTATTAGACCTTTCTGCTGCTTTTGACACTGTTGACCACCCGCTGCTCCTCAAAAAAATCCACTCGCTTGGCCTACAAGACTCTGCTCTCTCGTGGTTCTCCTCCTACTTATCTACGATTCCTGTGCTCCTGAGCTCCATCTAGTATCCATAATGTAGTATTACATTTCCTATGCTTCTCAGCTCCATCTACTGGCCACATAATATAGTATTACATTTCCTATGCTCCTCAGCTCCATCTACTGGCCTTAGTTTAGTATTACATTTCCAATGCTCCTCAGCTCCATCTAATGGCCATGATGTAGTATTACATTTCCTATGCTTCTCAGCTCTATCTAGTGGCCATAATGTAGTATTACATTTCCTATGCTCCTCAGCTCCATCTACTGGCCTTAGTTTAGTATTACATTTCCAATGCTCCTCAGCTCCATCTAATGGCCATGATGTAGTATTACATTTCCTATGCTCCTCAGCTCCATCTACTGGCCTTAGTTTAGTATTACATTTCCAATGCTCCTCAGCTCCATCTAATGGCCATGATGTAGTATTACATTTCCTATGCTCCTCAGCTCCATCTACTGGCCTTAGTTTAGTATTACATTTCCAATGCTCCTCAGCTCCATCTAATGGCCATGATGTAGTATTACATTTCCTATGCTCCTCAGCTCCATCTACTGGCCTTAGTTTAGTATTACATTTCCAATGCTCCTCAGCTCCATCTAATGGCCATGATGTAGTATTACATTTCCTATGCTCCTCAGCTCCATCTACTGGCCTTAGTTTAGTATTACATTTCCAATGCTCCTCAGCTCCATCTAATGGCCATGATGTAGTATTACATTTCCTATGCTCCTCAGCTCCATCTAGTGGCCATGATGTAGTATTACATCTCCTATGCTCCTCAGCTCCATCTACTGGCCATAGTTTAGTATTACATTGCATATGCTCCTTAGCACCAGCTAGTGGCCATAGTGTAGAATTACATTTCCTATGCTCCTCAGTTCCAGCTAGTGGCCATAATGTGGTATTACATTTCCTATGCTCCTCAACTCCATTTAGTGGCCATAATGCAGTATTACATCTGCCTTTGAGAGTTATGCCTGTGGCTGTCAGAGTCTTGCAAAACCTAAAGGGTTCTGTATTTCCACAGCACCTGGTGGGTCAGAGTTTGCCTACCCCTGCCCTATAGTGTCATAAAACCCTCCTTTGCACCTACCTGATCATCCTGAGGAACCTGGTGATGTTCTTCTTTGGTATCCTGAGAATAAAGAAGACCGGGGCATCTCTCTGGCAGGTTTTGGTCATAGGGTTCACCTTTAAGAAATGCGCATACAGTAATATAAGCGTCATGATATTGTATTGTATTCTGTACTGTTCAGGAGAGAAAGCTTGTCCACGGTTTTATAAGTCCACACACAGACATTCCCATACATGGCGCTTCTCTATCGGCTCCCATTACCAACAGGCAAACCCTTCAGAGAGGTCCAGTTTGCAGTTTACCGTAGCTTATGTTATAACCAAAGAGCAAGTGTATGGTGACCACCAACCAAACATGCTTCTGTGGAAGTCCTAAAGGTGGTCACAAATGATGGACTCTGGAAAGAATGACCCAAAGACTCCTTGGAGGGCACATAAGGGACATTCCACTGTCCATTACCGTTCACTTAAACTCATAAAGACAACACAACGGGATAATATATACAAAACCAACCAGACAGTGAAATGTATCATTTGAGTAAGGAGAATCTGGGACTCCATTCTGACCTGAGTGTTCATTCCTCACCTGTGCTGATCTCTGTAGGCATTGCCTCCTCTTTGATCCTCACATGTCCTTCTTCCTCAGCTTTGACGTCTCTCTGAGTGTCTCCGGGGTCTGTGAATAGAGAGGAGAGTGAAGCCCCCTGTACTGAGATGTATGAGAGACCCCAGAGAGTGTGTGGGGGGGAGACTGGTCACATCTCTTGGCTGGTAACACACAATGACATGATGTGAGGAGTAGTGCCGGAGTCTAATAGAGGCTGATGGCTCCTGACTCCCCCCCACTAGACACATTCCGTCCCCCCATTACTGTCTACTGACAGAGGAGGGGGGAGAAGAAGAGATTGTTGTAGTGACTAAACAAGGAGAATCTGGGACTCGTGTCTGGAGTTGATTACTCACCTGTGCTGATCTCTGGAGAACGTTCCTCCTCCTTACATGACTCATCACCCATTATAGACATCTCTTTTTCATCTTTAAGGCCAACTTTTATATTTGTCAGATGTTCTTTCTTAGAAACACAAAAAAGACATATATGATATGATATGTACTGACCAAGAGCAACTCAATCTAAAGTTCTGGTAAGACTTCAGCTCCATCTACCTGATCCTCCTGAGGGATCTCCTGATGTTCCTGTGTGGAATCCCGGGAATACAGAGGACGGACCTGAGGGATCTCCTGATGTTCCTGTGTGGAATCCCGGGAATACAGAGGACGGACCTGAGGGATCTCCTGATGTTCCTGTGTGGAATCCTGGGAATACAGAGGACGGGTCTGAGGGATCTCCTGATGTTCCTGTGTGGAATCCCGGGAATACAGAGGATGGGCCTGAGGGATCTCCTGATGTCCCTGTGTGGAATCCCGGGAATACAGAGGATGGGGACATCTCTCTGGGGTATTCCTGTTCCTGGATACATCTGTAGGAAACACACACACTGACTGAATACATTGTCTCTATGTCTTTATATGAGAGGATGTGTGTATCTAGGGGGATCCTCAATACTCAAGAAATGAAAGTCTCCTCTTACCCGGTGATGTGAGAGGCGGCCGGTTCTCCATCATGATGTCCTTGTGTCCTTCTAGTTACTCCTTTTCCTCTCTCCGTCCAGTCCTGTTCCTGATATGAAGCCAGTGTGTAAAGTGTCACTGGAATAAATTGATACAAACACATATGGATATATAAAGTGTATGTAAAGAAATGCAATCTAAAAAGTGAAGTCCTCGGGAGCTCTAAAAGATAAAAGTCCAGGGTCAATAAACATACTCGGCTCAATCACTAGACGCTATATAAACTCCACGGGGAATTTGTACCGGAGTAGTGATGTCCGTGGGCTCCAACTGGAGCCCACGGACATCACTACTGGGGCACAAGCCCA